AATGCAACAAAGATACCTTACCCCCAAACTTAAACCGCACATTGTCCTCAATGTGCAATGAGAACAATAGAAAAGATGGAAAGAGTATACCGTGGTGTCGAAAGCACGAAGCCCGACAATGATCCAATATGAAAAGGGTCTCCCCCAAACTTGGAATTAATAACCTATTTGAATAATCACACTAGCAAACTCACATCAAATATCAAATGGGATAAGATAAGTAAATCAAGCATTCTTAATGCAATATAGCGCAAGATAAAAGAGAGATATGAGATCAAGACCAATAGAAAATATGAAAGTGCATGACTACACATAAGGGCACAATGGTGAAAAGTTTTTATATTTTTCTTTTTATGAAAGCAAGTATATACAAAATGCAAGAAAAATAAAGGATAAAATGCATGAACAAAATGCAAAAAGAAAAATAAAGAAGGAAAAATGCAATAAAAGAATATGTACAATGCAAGAAATAAAAAACAAAAAGTAAAAAAGGAAGCAAGAACAAAAAAAAAATGAAAATGAAAATAAAAACTCTTTTATTTTCATTTTTTTTATGACATAACAAGTATGTACACACACACAATAAAATGTAAAGAAATAAAAATGCAATAAATGAAAATGTAATGAAATAAAGAATGAATGAATTTTTTTTATTATTATATATATTTTTTATGAAAGTATATACAATGAAACAAAATGTAAGAAAATACAGAATGATTGCTAAGTTTAACGTCTCTAGCAAGACGGAAAGCCATTTTGAAAAATTATTTTTTTTTTTATTATTTATTTTTTTATTTTCTAGAGAAAATAAATATTTACATAAACAAAGATAAAAAGACAAGTAAATAAAAATGCAAGAAGTAAAAATGTAAGGAAATAAAGAATGCAAAATCTTTTCTTTTTTTCTTTTTTTTTTTCAAAGAGAAAAGTAACTAAATAAAATAAAAGAAAATAACAAAAGTAAAAGAAAATGAAAAAATAAAATAAAATAAAAATAGAGAGAAAAAAAAGCCAAAAAGTCAAAGGTGCAAAGCTGTGATCGATCTAAGGATGATTGATCTAAACTCGATCGATCGAAGATGTGAAAACCTGCAGACAAGCTCGATCGATACACAGAGAGGTGAAAAATGCAGAGCTCCAAAAAAATTTTCTAAGTATGGAATGAAGATCGATCTGAGGAAAATCTCGATCGATCTTGGAACACACAGATCGATCTGAAATGAAATTTGCTCGATACACAGAGAGCTGATTTCTACATAGAATTGATTGCAGAGAGGTTCGATAGATTGAAGGGACACTTGTGATCGATCGAACTGGTACCAAATGCCTAATTTTGAGATGAAAGTGCAGAAAATCCTATGCTAAGCCCCAATGATGGTAACAAGAATAGAGATTGAAAAATGAATGGAAGAATGTACACAAGAATGAAAAATAAAAAGAAATGAGGGAGGAATAGAGTTGTGAAACTCTATGAATATTAGTATTTAACGTCTCTAGCAAGACGTTGGTTCGACTCATTAGTCGAACGTATCAAAAACCAGATATGAGACATCCTTATTGATCCTCTTTTCACTTTTCTCATTTGATGCCTCACTTACGATAATGAAATCATCCTCCAAAAGAATGACTTGAAAAGAAATGAAAGAGATGATATTGTTCCTTTCATCCACAGTCTTGAAAACAAAATCAATCAAGGTTAGGCTTGCCTCTTTGTTGTGTTCTTGAAACACATTCAAAGGATCATTCACTTTGATAATTGGTGAGGCATTATCTTTCAAAGACTTATTTGGACTAATAAGAAACACCCTCTCTTCATCCCTCTATTTTTCCTCAAAAATCACTATCTCCTCACCTTCCAAGTTAGCTAAGGAGTCTATTAGAGAGTTTATTTCATTTTTAGAGTTTTCAAAGTCAAAACCACAATTTTTATACATTTCAAAAAGGCATGTCTCAAGAGGGTCATTGGAGATAATAGAAGGAAGGCCCTCTTCAACAAGTTCATCATCCTCCTCTCCTACCTCTATAGTGGTCAACATCTCCTCACTCTCTAAAGTAGCAATGGTGGAGATAAAATCATAATCAAAACAAGGAAAGTCCTCATTAATCATATTATGCTCCATTAGATTAGCCACCAACTCACTTGCCACTTCCTCCTCTATACAAGATAGAGTGCTAGGCATTAACTCACTTGCTACTTCTTCTTCTTCACTCTCATCATCCTCATCTAAATAACTTAAAGTTCTTGCCATTTTTTCATTTACCTCTTCCTCCTCCTCTTGACGAGAAAGAGTACTTGCAATTTGCTTAACTTGAGCTTCAAGCTTGACTAAAGTTTGAGAATGAGAATTAATAAGTGGAGTTTGTGAAATATGCACATCAAGTAAAGCTAATACTTTTTCTTCAAATCCGGGTGAGTACCTAAAAGGTGGTGGATTTGGTTCTTTATAAAATGGTGGGGGAGGGTGATTGTTACAAGAAGGATTAAAAGAGAGATCAAGCCCATAATAAGATGATGCATGAAATGAATTGGACTCAATCTCATAAGGATTAAAATATGATGGAGGAGCATAAGGTGAAGGGATGTAATTTCCCCCTGAACTTGGATAAACAATTCCTCCATTCACAATTAAAATGCAAATGCAAGAAAATATTGCTTCCACACGGGCCAATGCTTGGACAAAAAATTTAAGTAATATAATGAGCCTCAACAAGGGCTATCACAAGCATGCAAAGAAGTGCACAATTAAAATACAAGAATTCCAAGAATTGCTCACAAAGATCCTTAAGCAACTTCAAATTCTAATGTTAGCTTTAAGCTCCAATGATTGCTTTAAGATCCAAAGTTTGCCTTTCTTGTAGTCAAGTACCTAATTGACAAATAATATCAAGACTGAGAAATGAATATACAATGAAAAATAAAATAAAAATAGAAGCAATCAAATGAACACTATTGTCTAGTCTAATTCCAACAAAACCGTTAATCCCCAAAAACGGTGCCAAAATTTGACAAGCCCCTTTCCAAGTGTTTAGAAAACGGACTTTTTAATGCGAGAGGTCACTTCACAAGGTAAAAATATGAATGTGGTTTCGGAAGCCTTTCTAGACAAATTTACATGTATAAAAACTACTACTACAATTAATGAAGTATAGCGAATAGGGATCGTTCGCAGAGATTATACATGTTGGAGTTTAACTTCGACTCTAGCGTATCAAGAGATTGCAAATGAGGGTTGTTTGTTTGATTACACTAAGATGCAAAGAAATTAAAATGCAATTAAAATAAACTAGTGAGAGATAGGGATTTAAGAGATATGAAGAGAGGTTTTAGGCTGTTGGAATCACCACTAAACTCGTGTAATTAACCACTTGCTTTCCATTAATGGGGAATACATTGTTGTGAACAAAATGCGACTACCAATTGCAATATTAAGCATGGACCATCAAATTCATGTATGAATTGTCTACCTAACCAACAAATAAATTAAGTATAGAACAACCCATCAAATCTAAGCATGACCCATCAAACTAGTCACAATTGTAGCACACTTCAATTTAGAGAATCGTGGAATTTGCAATAATAAGTCATGGAATATCAAATAAAGTATAGATTGTCTACCTACCTACAAGCATGAATTAAATTGTAGAACAACCCATCAAGCATAAGAATAATCCATCAAATTAATTGACAAACCCATTCAATGAAAACCCATGCTTAGCCATCACTAGATCCTTAATTAATTACACATAGACATGCAACCAACATAGAGAAATTAGTGTAATGATCAATTCCCAAATAATCACACATAAGACAACATGTAATCGAATAGAGAACCAATAGAAAAAATTAATCCATATGAATCATGTAAGAAATAATTCCTAATTTAATCACACATAGACATGTAAATAAATTAGAGAATTAATAGGAAAAATTAAACTATAGAAATCATAGAAATATACCAAGATTCATTAAATTCATAAGACTAAAACACTAATCACAACAATATATATAAATCCCCAAAATAAAAAATACAAAGGTTTAGATTATACAAGACTTAGGGCTCATCCAAGCCCTAAGTGTAGATCTAGTCAATCATGGAGGAGGTGGATGTGGTCATGAAACCTTCAAGAGCAAGCTCCAAACATGACTCCATCTTCTTCTTCCTCTTCTTCTTTTTCTTCTTTAAAGCTCTAGAGAGAGAGAGTGTGTGGATCTAGAGATGAGTTTTTAAGATGTGTCTCCACTTCCCTCTTTTCTTCTAACCCTAATCTCTAACTTTTTTTAGAAAGAGAATAAAATTACAATGTAAAAGTAAAATGATAAAAAGCTCTCTTATAAAATGGTTCAATTCCCTTTAAATACACGGTCCTTTTCTTAATCACTAAGTCAGAAATATAGCCCAAAAATATCTAATCCCGCAACTATGTGGTAGGTGGAAATCGGGTGCGCGGGAATAAGACAGCTCGCTGCCAGCATATTTTCGATCAATCCAACTTTTGATTGTTCTGGGTGAGATCGATTCAACTTTTGATCGTTTTAGGTGAGATCGATCAAACTTGGCAGTTTTTCAGCATCAGCCACTTTTTGCTCCAAATTGTCACAAAGACTTAATTTGACTCCAAAAAGGCCTTAAGAAGCCATTCTTAGCTCGTTTTAACTTTATTGACCTAAAAAGGGAAATAACACGAAATTAGTCTAAAACGGGAAAATAAAATAGATAAAGGTCCCAGAATGTTCAAGCTTAAAGGGTTTAAATACGCATTTTTCATCGCTCATCAAGTGGAAAGAGTATATCAAATGGGCGTAGCATACAGAACCTGGCAATGCAAATCTTAGCATTGGAAGGCGTACCCCTAAACTTAGATTCCAAAAATCTGTCTAAAAATGGTCACACTAGCAACTGTCAAAGCATATGCATCAAATGATAGAAATGAAATAGAATGAAGAACTGGGAATGAATGGGCATAAAATCATGGCATAAAGTAATATCAATCTCAAAATATCCAAAACTCAAGTCAAAATATATCAATATCCAAAAACCAATAATCAATATCTGAAAGTAAATCCAAAACTAAAAATCCAAAATAATGATCAAACACCAAGTAGAATATATCAAATAGTATAAATCCCCAAAAATAGCAATTAAGTATCAAACAGTATCAGATACTATCAGAGTAGGTAAATAAGTGGGAGAAAATGTGGAGTAATCATGGAACAACATTCAGGGCCTCAAGCAGATCCATGATGTGCTGAAACATATCGATGACCTCACCGCGGAAGCTGGTCATATCAATACAGATCTATGCACCATCAGTCCTAAGTAATGCAATATCCCTCCTCGCATCGGTGATACCTCTTTTAATATCGGTCACTCGCTGAACCATCTGAGCATCGAATGATCTAAGCTTAGACTGAAACTGAGTAACATCGCCATGGAGATTGGAATCAGAGCTGGCATACTGAGAGGATAGGCCTGTCGGAGGTGCTATAGGTGAAGGTGGAACTGAAGAAGTGCCGATCAGGAACTCGAAAGCTATGGGAGGCTGAGATATGCTGGAAGTGGTGCGCTAGCTGTCTAGATTTGGGTCTGGAAGAGGTAGGTGATCCCTCCTGATATCCTTCTGAGAATATGCAGTCTCGAGCCTTATCTTCTCATCTAATCTGAGACTGGTCTGACAGGCATTGTAGTTTTTCTTCCACTGAGTCGCACCATACTTCCTTTTATTCTTCTTAATGGCCGGTTCTGTCTCCTCCTCTGGGTCAAATGGAAAGCCCTGGCCCTCTAGAATCTATGTGACCAAGTGGCAAAGGGTAGGGACCAGGACTTGGCTTTATCATTTCATCTAAACACTAGATTATCCCAATACTTATGGATAATCTCCCAGATAAGAGCAGGAATCGAAACCTAACATCCCTGGTTAAAACTGTACAGGGCCTTCAAAATCTCTTGTCGCCTCTAAGTATTATGCCTAGATGGAAAGACATTGCAGAACAACATAGTGTTAATAAACCATAACCTGGATGGGATATCCTCCCGCTTAGCATAAGGGTTGCCTACATAGGCCGTCTGAGGAGAAAGATAAGCACCAATATCCATATCTGAAGGATACTCTGTGATAATCGGGTATAATGCCTACCCGACTTAGTCACTACCGAAGACATGTAGGGGCATCTGCAGGCTATCTCTATGGAGACAGTAAAAATGATAATGTCCTGCCCATCTATGGCAGTATGAAGAATCTATGGATCAACCTGACCCCGTCGGAGGTGCTGGTAGAATAATGCAACCAATCGAGGATACACCATGTCGCTGCTCAGCGTAAGAATAGTAGCAATACCCTACCAGGTTATCTTATCAAAAGCCCATTTGGTCTGCTCAGACCGGGTAAAGAAATCAATATCAAAAGTGTGCTCCGACTCCTGATCTCTGTTAGAAAAATAAAGGTCAGGAACTGCTCTGACAATGGGGTCCTATGTGTCCATAAATGATGGACCGGAAAAAGATGCAAAAGATCATGTAGTTACCTCAGACTCTATAGGAGAAGATTCCTCTTGTGGAGAAGGAGGTGGTTGTCGAGGCCTAGTGACTCTCTTTTTAGCAATTGTCTTCTTCCACTGCATCTGGAAAAACAATATATAAAAGTCAGTGCACATGTATACAAATGGGATAAACATTTGAAATGAAAACACTAAGCATACTTAAATCAATTAGAAACAGAGAATAACTAGAATGGAACATGCTTGTGCAAGAAATTAACAAGAAAGCTTTAAGAAATGCATTTAAACTATTTTTCAACGTTTAAGTACTCAAACATGCTCTAACAGACAAAGAATGGATCATGGCACAATAAACAATCTCAAGCATGCAATACGGTGCAATGGTAGCAAAGAGGGAACAAAAAGGTCACTTTTAAAAGCATTTGTGCAAAATGAGACCAAAGTGACAAGTATAGGATATGAACATGCAATGTGACAAGTATAGGATATGAACATGCAATGTGCATTCACAAACCAAAAACTCAAGAGATTTTGCAATTTTAAGGCAAGTAGATCCTAGGATGACATTGTACTCCCTCCGTCCCATATTAGTAGTCCATTATTTCATTTTTACATGTCCCAAATTAATTGTCCTCTTTTAAAAGTCAAAGCATATTTCCTTTATATTTCCATCATTGTCCTTTATCTTTTTAAAAAATTTCAAGCTTTATAACTATATATATTTAAATTAGAAAGGATAATTTAGTAATTTTAAAAAGGGACAATGCATTAATTGCAATGTCCCCTTAAAAACTCCAATTTCTATAAATGGACCTCTATTGTGGGACGGAGGTAGTATCATTTCCTAAGCAAGAATGTCTACAAATTCAACATTTAAGACCAATGAAGCAATCATGGTGACATGGAGGAAACAAGTCATGGCAAATGGCTATCTAGAACTCAAGAAGCATGGATATCATGAAATAGAGACTAAGTGGAATGCATGGTTGCAAACATTTCTATCCTAAGCATGTTATGATGAACAAGTTCAAAGATGAATTCTATACATGGTATGCAACCTATGTAGCATTTGAAAAATTATGCACAATTTTCAAGCCAAACTCCATTCACAAATATCCCATTCTCCATTTCACAAAATCAACAACCTATGGTCACTCAAGGCTCGTGACCCCCTCTAAGCAATATAAAGAATAAAAATGATGGCTCGCAACCCCCTTCTTAGCATAATTGAAGCAAACAATGGTATAAAATGAGAAGGATGAGAATCTTACCCCTTTTTGGATCAAAAGCAATGACCAACTAATAAGATCGATTTCAAGCCCTTACAAGCTTTTCATGAACGAATCATAATGTAATACAACAAGTAAAATGGTATTTCATGATCAACTTTCCTAAACTTAACCACAATTGACAATTTGGTTCAAGTTTAAACACTTTTAGGCCCAAAACAACATTCTAATGAAGCAAGATAACATTCCCCGAAACTTATTTCAAATGGCATTTCAAAGTTCAATTCTATACCCACAAATGTGTACTGAGGCCAAAGAATGACAATGATATCCTAGCATTGCGAATTGAACTCAAAACATCCAATTTCCCCCAAACTTAGTCAAAGATCAAGAAATCATCATAATGCAACACAAGATTATTCAAAAGTGCAAACATGTTTGAAAAACCAACAATGTGAACATGGTGTGCAACTTATGACAAGAAAACTTGCGTTTTATTTCAAAAGGCAACAGTTATTCAAAAAGATCACATTAGGTCAATTTTAAGCTTATTATGCAACATCACAACATTTGACTTCAAAAAGTTGGGTTCAAGTTGACATTTCAACACATTTTTCAAAAAAAATTTAAGTTCTCAACATTTTAGCTCAAAAGATATCAAATAGATGCCCTCACATGGCAAGAATTAAGAATTGACAACAACAAACTCAATAGCACTTAAAACATGCATTTGGATAAAGAATAGAGCAAATGGAACAAGTTCAACTTATTTAAGGGCATTTTGGATGACTTTAGAAAATTTCAGAACTTTAGTTCAAAATTGAAAATTTTGAAACTTTGGGGTTCAAGTATTCACATGCATTGTAAATAGGCATTTTCACAAGAATCATGCATTGAAACATTCAACAATTGAAGGAATTTAAAGACTCGACTTCACTTTTCAAATTCAAAGTCCAAAAGGCAATTTCAATTTCCAAAAATCAACAATTTATTCACAAATGAAATTTCTAATTTTTCAAAGGTTATTTTTCTAAATTTACACCATAACCATGAGCATAAATCAATTTAAGACGAAAACTTTTCAAAAAGTTCTATTTCAAAACATTTTCATGCATTTAGACTTGACTTCTCATTTTTAAAACTTATAAACACAACACTTTTCAACTTCAAGTCACATCATTAACGCATTTTAACACTTAAAACAAACATCCATGCAATTCCACACTTAGGCTTAACAAATGAAATGAAAACGGGGACATGCTTCGAATTTTCAATTCAAAGGAAAGCACATAAAAAATTTCCAAGAAATTTCAATTTCAAAGTCACAGCATTTCAATTCCGATTTCCATTTCAAACAATGCGTGCTTCACAAAGTATCTTTCTAATCAAACATATATCAAACACAATTCAACATTTCAAATTTCAATTTCAATTTTTATTAAATCCTCTTTCCATTTTTCAATTGAACTCACAAAGACAAAAATTCAATTGTCAACAATAACAATCCAATTATTTCGACAAAATCCCATTTAAAATTTTGAACTACAACACAATGGACACTTCTTTTTCATTTTCTAAACCTCGCAACATACGCACATTTTGTCAACTCATTTGGAAAAATTATAGCATCGCAATCAACATGTCAACATGGCATGTCAACATGGCACAACTTCCCAAAAATGTCAACCGTTTAAATTTTCATTTTTCAGTATTGAAAGTCTAAAATTTAAAACACAAAGCACATATATATCAATTCAATGTCACGGCCCAATCAACAAAACCAATTCAATATTTTTGCCCTTCCTCCATCAACAACAACCCACAAACAATAAATCAAGTTTTCAGCCCATTCTCCATTCACAATACAACAACAAAACTGCCCCAAACTTCAAAGCCAATTCACAACAACACTGCCCCAATTAAACCAAATCACAGTGCCCATTCTCCATTCACAAAATTCCAGCCCATTTCATCACACAACATCACAGGTATAATCAAGTTATATCACAGTCCCACAGTCCATATTGTTCAATTTGAGTCCACTGTTTCAATTCCTTTTTAATTTTCAGTTTTTCATTTTCTTTTTGGTTTTTCAATTTCAATTTCAACAAAATGAAGTACAAACAAAGATGCAAATATACAATGAAGATGAAAAATAAAACAAAAGAAAAATGAAAAACAAAATGAAAATGCAAAGTTCACATACCCGCAAGAGAGAATAAAAAACAGAGAGGGGGAGACCGGAATGTCGCCGGAAAAGTGGAAGGTCACCAGAATTTCTCCTTGGCCTAAATCATCCAGAGAAAGGAAGAGAACGCTGCGAGATTGGAGAGCAAAAACCGGGAGAAGAGAGGAAGAAGGAGCTCGGCCTTTGGCCAAGAGCTCACTGCAGGAAAAAATGGAGATACGGTGAAGGCGAAGGGAAGCTTCGGTTCAGTGGTGACGGGTGTTTGACAGAGAGATTGGGTGAGGATTGTGTGGTAAGGGATTGATGGGAGGGGGCTTGCTTCGGGGTTGAGAGGAGAAGAGATGGAAATGAGAGAAACCGAAGGGGGAGACAGAGAAAGTGAAAAAAAAAAAAAAAAAAAAAAAAAAAAAAAAAAAGAAGAAGAAGAAGAAGAAGAAGAAAGAAAGAAAGAAAGAAAGAAAAAGAAAAAGGAGGAGAGAGAGAGGAGAGAGAAAGAAAATTGATAAAAAAAAAAAAATAGGGTTAGAATATGAAATGCCAAAGCACATTTTTGAAATTTGAACAGTCTCTTTGGAGACCGATCGTGGGTTGGCGATCGATCGCTAAGTTGACGAATGGAATTACACGATCGATCGCCAAGGACCTGCGATCGATCATCAATGACACAAAAAATGCAAAAAATTACTCGGAAACTCAAATAAAACACCTCGAAACTTATCTAGACGAGGCAAAAATGAAAAATAGAAGAAATGAGGGAGGAATAGGGTTTGAAAACCCTACCAATGCTAGTGTTTAACGTCTCTAGCAAGACGTTGGGCTACTTAGCCCGGATCAAAAATCTTATTTGACATCCCCTTCTCAATAGGATGCAAGACACTTTGAATCCCACCCAACAAATTATTCCATATGGAATTTGTTGGATTTGAATCAGTAGTGTTGGGTGAACTTCTTTCAACACCCAAAAATGGACTTCTAGGCTTTCATGCCTTTTTAAACTTGACTTTTGAAGTCAAATCTTGGGAAGAATCATTCGAAGGTAAGACACTATACTTTGGTAACTCAATAAGAGATGGGATTTCAACCACTTTTTTCAACAATTCTCTCAACAACATTGACCTTTTCATGCTTGTCAAAAGAGTTTGGGGTCAGATTAAAGATGTTCAACTTAACCTTCATGTGCCTAAAAGAGATTTTCATTACCCCTGTCCTACAATTGATGTTTGCATTGGCCGTGGCCAAGAAAGGACGGCCACGGCCAAGGATAACGGGAATTTGACTCTTTGGGTTGGCAACCAGTTCCGTGTCTATGATAACAAAATCAACCGAGAAGAAGAATTTATCTATTTTGATCAATGATGTGTGTCAATAATAAATTAACCACTCGCAATAGAACGAATCTTTGTAAGATAGGGCTATATTGAGGGTGTCGAATCTCAAAGACTGTGGTAGTTTATCGAGTCTTCAATTAATACTATTTTAATTTAGAAAGAGGATTTGATTTGTTGTGTTATGATAACACAAACAGAAAATAAATAAAATAAAGGGATTGAGATCAAGAGAAGAAATACTTAGGGATTATCTTCACCACGAACCTCATACTTTGGTTAATTGTTCAACCTTGGGATTTCAACAATTTATATATCATATAGAATTAAACTCAATAACATTCGTTTAATTCAAATTTAAAGAAAGATGTTTCACGAATTTTAATTAATAATAATCTATCTTGGGTTGGCACGAATTATCTACGTACCTACCTACTTCTAACTAATTTTGTAGTGTAACTCATCTTCCCTAAGCATAGAATATGAAAACATTCATTCATGAAAAACGTTTGAACATCATTGCATGATCTTTATTCTTATGTCCAACAGGGCTCCGCCAGATATCGTCCAATAAGAATGGGTTGAATATAATTTAAGAATACTTAAATCTAAGACAAGGTATTAATCATTCAAAAACTATTTAATAATTAAAACACCAATTGAATTAGAAAATTGCCCAAAATCATGCAATCAAAATACATAATATATTAAATTCCTAAAGTACAGAACAATCAAACCATAGTATTTCGATTCGGGCTACATCAACACCCTAAGAGAGGAATTAGCTACTCATGACGACGCAAGATATCATCTGTGTTGTTGTGGTCTTCATCGCCATGGACCACTAAAACTCCTTTTGGATCTTCTTCTTCAAAACCCTAAAAGCCGCTGTGAGAGAGATATGAGAAAGATAATGGATGATTTTCTGTAGTCTTCTCCTCTTCTTTTATAGTGGAGAATAAGTCCCAATCCCCTTTGGATTGGTTTTCTAGCTTTTGGTAACAATTGGGCTCTTAAGGAAATAAAGAAAGATGATTTTTGGTAGTTCCTGCATGTATTTTTGACTTTAAGGACGTTCAGGCTCGGGTTTTGGAGTTTAGGCTCAAGCATCACCTTTTAGCAAATTGTTTTGACTTTGTAACGCGATTTTGATCCATTTAGAGTGCGAATCTTGAGATGGCTATTAGAGACAAAAATATTAGACTTCGAGTCTTCCTTCTAGAGCCACTGAGTTTGCTCAATTTGGAGTTCCGAGTCAAAAGTTATGCCCAAAATACTAAAGCGGATTCAGAGTTTTCAGCCATGCTCGAGCTCGAAGTGGTAGTGCTCGAGCTCTGAGAGCAAAATTATTCTGAAACATCTTTTTATTGATGGTGCTCAATCCTCTCTTCATGGTGCTCGATCCCAATGGGCTTGAGTTCTAGGTGTTAGTGCTCGATCCCTAAGACTTGGCACGAGGTCATGAGAGCTTGGATTAACTTTTCTTATTCCGATGCATCATGTTCTCGAGCTTTTAGGTAAAGGCTCGAGCACCCTTAAGTTAGGCTCGAGCTTTCTGATTCGGGCTCGAGCTTTCTCACCGTGGTGGAATTTCTTGTTTTGTACTCGAGCAATAAAACTGAGGCTCGAGCTTCCAAACTTAAACTCTTCCAAAATTCACCATTTTGACTCTCGGCTTGCTTCGGATAACCAGCAACGACGCGGTAAACATCATTATCGTTCTTTTCATCATAAAAGCCCGGTTTTAACTGCTTTTTTGGGAAAACACCTAAAAATATGAAATAAACATAAATCAGTATAAAATAGGATAGATGTATCACTTTAGGTCTTAACATATGTGTACTAAGGAGCTCGAATATACAATATTTAGTGCTCATAACACCCCCAAACTTACATATTGCTAGTTCCTTTGCAATACAGAACTAAAAAGCCACTTTCGTAGGAATCACGGTTGCATTTAGCCTATGCAACAAGCCTTTAAACCCCTAGGTTACCCCTAATAGGTGAGTTATAGTCTCGTGAGGGTTTCCAATAAAGATACTCACAAACTTAAAATTAGTGCCTTAATTACACAGTAAGCTTATTCAAACCTGTTTTCATATCATAATGTCCCAGCAATGCATCAATCAGTCAACTACAACAAATATAAGAAACTATATTAAACAGGAAAAATCTCCAACTCTCAATATCATATCAGCAGCTATGGTCCCCATATGTCAGTTTAATCACATGTTTAACAATCTCGATCCCCAAAATCCTTTTTAATAGTGAACTTATAATTCTAAACATATGGCTTACTATCCATAATTATATATGTTATCCCTTAATTCACAAGTAGACCTTTCAAATTTTGATTCCCAAGGTATTTTTCCTATTTTTCTACAGGTATACATTTATTTCATTTATCACTCAATTTTTTTTTAACTCTTATTTTTTTTTTTTTTTTTTTTTTTTTTTTTTTTTTTTTTTTTTTTTCAAAAGGGTACTGTGTAATGCTCGGGTCTATTAAGCTCTCTAAATCACTATTGTAACGAGTTTTCAGCCAATGACTTCCAAACCAGATAGCTTTAGGGCATTAGGTGTTAAAACACCCCTACGGACCCAATTACTCAAGTAGTCTAGGTAACCTAAACTTCTTATATAACGAACTTTTAGCCAATGACTCCTAAACCAGTTGGTTTTACGGCATTAGGTGTTGAAATACCCCTAAGGACTTAATTGTTCAACCAATCTACGTACATACCCAAACTTGAACCTTTTTCTCTCTTTTCATTTGTTTCTTTCACATTGGTGAAGAACTTTTTTTTTTTTTTTTTTCATTGCATACATACCATATTATTTCTTTCATCATGTTTTTTTTTTTTATACCTTGATTCTCAAAATCATTAAATTTACCTGCTCATTTTAGTTTAATACAAATCAGAATAAGATATCAAGTTTATACCCCACAGAATGCATGTAAGCGTGAACATGTGCAAATGAAGTATTCTATGAATTAAAATCATCAATCCCTATTTAGCATGAATTCGGTATACAAGCCATGTTAAACCAATATCAGACTGTATATGGACATCACAACAATCAATAGACTCAAAATCATGCTTAAAACAATTAAAATTCATTCCCTTGTGCACAACCTATCAACAGCAAAATTTTCAAGGACACTGCCTTACACTCAAACTTAAGAAGCACATTGTCCTCAATGTGTGAAAATAGATGTAAAGTTAGAAAGATATTACCAAATATGTAGAACCAACAAGGATCAATAATTGATAACTCAGAGGAATGAAATCGTCACCTCACCCCCAAACTTAGTCCTTTGTACCTAATAAAATAATCACTCTCCATAGCACACATCAGAGTATTAAGTATATGGAGTAAAACAAATATATATCATTATGCACAAGTTAATCAAGTTTTTTTTTTTTTTTTTTTTTTTTTTTTTTTTTTAATAAAAACAAAACAAAACAAACCTAATCTAAAAATAAAACAAAAATATATAAAGAAATTAGCCTAATATATATATATATATATATATATATATATTATAAAAACAAATCAAAACTAACCTAATCTAAAAATAAAAGAAAAATAAAAAAAAAAACTAAAAACCTAGAAAAACTAAAATGAAAAAAAAATGAAAATAAGCTAATCTAAAAATAATTATAATAATAAATAAATTTAAAATTAAAATAAAAGAAAAAGAAAAATAAATAAATAAAAAATAAATAAACTAATCTATAAGTGCTAACGTCACTAATAGATGTGGGGGTGACTCGCTAGTCAAAACTATCAAAAAGGGGATACAGAACATTCACGTTTAACCTCTTATCAATTTTCCCCATTACCTCCTTACTTACAACATTGAAATCATCTTCCAAAGGAATAACAAGAAAATAAATGGAAGATTTAATATCGTTCCCTTCATCAACGGTCTTGAAAACAAAATCAACAGTGGTCTGCCTTGTATCATTATTGTGCTCTTGAAATATATTCAAAGAATTACTTCCTTTGTTATTTAGCAAGACAGTATCTTTCAAAGACTCAATTGGATCTTTAGGAAACTCAATATCTTCATCCTTTTTTCTCTTCCTCTAAATGAATCACCTTCTCCCCACTCTTTAAGGTATTGATGGCCTGAATAAATTCATGATCTAAAGTACAAGGAATATCCTCATCAATCATGTTGTGCTCTATTGGATTGGCCATTGGTAGACTAGGCACTTCCTCATTCTCTTGATGAGATAGAGTACTCAATATTTGCCCAATGGGAACTTCTATTTGCTTAGCATGAACTTTTACT